GGATGGGATTCATCCTAGGGTGCTTAAAGAGCTGGCTGATGCCATCACAGGACCTCTCTCAATTATTTTTCAATGATCTTGGGAATCTGGAGAGGTCCCAGTAGACTGGAAGCTGGCAAATGTTGTCCCAATTTTCTAGAAGGGCAAGAAAGAAGACACCAGCAGTTACAGGCCTGTCAGTCTCATGTCAGTACCTGGTAAAATTATGGACAAGATGATTCTTGAAATTACTGAAGCACACCTGGGGGACAATGTGGTCATTCGTCCCAGCCAACATGCGTTCATGAGGGGCAGGTCCCGCCTAACAAATTTGATTTCCTTTTATGATAAGATCACCCATCAAGTTGATCAATTGATCGACCAGCTGATGTGATCTTTTTGGACTTCAGCAAAGCTTTTGACACAGTTTCCCATAGGATCCTACTGGACAAAATGTCCAGCATAGAACTTAACAAAAACATCACATGATGGGTGAGCAGTTGGCTTACAAGCAGGGCTCAAAGGGTTGTGGTAAATGGGGCCGCATCTGGCTGGTGGACGGTCACTAGTGGGGTCCCTCAAGGCTCCATTTTAGGGCCAGTCCTCTTCAATGTTTTTATAAATGATTTGGATGTAGGAGTAGAAGGTGTTCTGAGCAAATTTGCTGACAACACCGAACTTGGAGTAGTTGTGGGCTCTGATGAGGGTGGAAAGGCCTTGCAGAGAGATCTGGACAGATTGGAGAGCTGGGCAATCACCAACCACATGAAGTTTAACAAGAGCAAGTGCTGGTCCTGCACCTGGGATGGGGCAACCCTGGCTATAGGTACAGGCTGGGTGATGAGACGCTGGAGAGCAGCCTCAAAGAGAAGGATCTGGGGGTTGTGGTTGACAGCAAGTTGAATATGAGCCAGCAGTGTGCCCTGGCAGCCAGGAGGGCCAACCATATCCTGGGATGCATCAAGCATGGCATCGCTAGTTGGTCGAGGGAGGTGATTGTCCCGCTCTACTCTGCACTGGTGTGGCCTCACCTTGAGTACTGTGTGCAGTTCTGGGCACCACAGCACAAGAAGGACATTAAACTGTTGGAGAGTGTCCAGAGGAGGGTGACAAAGATGGTGAAAGGCCTAGAGTGGAAGATGTATGAGGAGCGGCTGAGGTCACTGGGCCTGTTCAGCCTGGAGAAGAGGAAGGTGAGGGGGGACCTCATCATGGTCTACAACTTCCTCACAAGGGGGAGTGGAGAGGCTGGTGACCTATTCTCTTTAGGCACCAGTGATAGGACCCTCTGGAATAGTGTTAAGATGAGGCAGGGGAGGTTTAGGTTGGACATCAGGAAAAGGTTCTTCATCAAGAGGTTAGCTGCACACTGGAACAGGCCCCCCAGGGAAGTAGTCACTGCACCAAGCCTGTCTGAATTTAAAAAGCGATTGGACTGTGCACTTAGTCACATGGTCTAAAATTTTGTGTAGACCTGTGTGTTGCCAGGAGTTGGACTCAATGATCCTTACGGGTCCCTTCCAACTCAGAATATTCTATGTTTCTATGATTCTATGAAGCTGTGTCAGGGAAAATAGAGAGAAACTGTTTATGTAAAATATATACTAGTTAAACGACATAAGATTAAGGCTGAATAACATCACTACATATTAGTTGTCCATAGATGCAAACATAGAGAAGTTTGTCCATCCACAGAACCACTGAGTCTGTTGAGCTTAAATCTGAAACTGAGTACCTAACATTCTGCAATTTGTTATCTAATCTTCAAAAGAAATGATTTTTACTTAAATACCTTTAGTACTTAAGCACTTGTACAGAACATTGGTGAAGAGGCTGCCAGCCTGCAATCCCAGCATATGGGCTTAAAAACTGTATGTTTTTGTCTCCTCAAATATGACAGCATACTAAGCAGCTTGCTTATTATTTCCATGTTGCGACTGAAACTATCAGACCAAAAACCTCACACCTCAACCTCTGCAGCATGGTTAAGAAATCTTGTCTCTGCTCTCCAATTTACAAAATGTATTGTCCAGCCTTTAATGAGAAAAAGATGTCTTTTCAGGTTCAGAAACCAAGTCTATGTCTTCACTGATAATTTAGTAAATAAGAAATTGGCAGAGTCTATGCAATTTTTAGACTGACATTCATAACTTTTGTATGCACCTTTCCTGAGGATGTGCAGCACCTGACCAGGTTGTTAACACCTCTAAAAAAAAAAAAGAGGGCTGCAAAGGAAGGACTTATTTGGCATAAAATAGCTCCTTTGTGCCTCCCCTCAGTTTAAGGTGAAGGAAAGACCATCTTCAGAACAGAGCATGCAGCAGACAGAAGAGCACAGAAAAGCAGAGCTCTGCTCTCTCTGTTACTTTGCAGGCAAAGGATGCCTCGCACTGCCATGAAGCCCCAATTTGCACTCGCCTTATTGCATCTTCCCAGCCTACTCCAGTGGAGCTCAGCATAGCATCAGACCAGTGGTTTGCCTGGGATCAGTCTGCACATCAAGCTGATAAGCCAAGAAAATAAGCATGACAAGAAATCTGGTAGATCAGAGGGATAGCAAAGAAAGCAGTTGAGGCCCTGGGGAAAAAAATAAGTAGAAAGAAAGGATCAGCAGTAAAAATAAAATTAAAAAAAAAAAGTAAGAAGGAAGCAAACATGCAAAGGAAAGAGAAGGTGGATAAAGAAAATGGAAGAAAAAGAGGAAAAAGTGAGCATATCTTCAGTATAGAAAAGGTGGAAAAACGAAGGAAAAGAAAGATGACTAAAGCAAGGGAAAGCAATGTAGAAGTGTGATGTGCTGGGGAAAGATGAGGGAGAAAAGAAGGGAGAATTAATGTATTTAAATATATCAGCAAGGAAGAAAATCTGCAAGACTTTCATAAGACATTCCCTATCCTATAAATAATACCTCATAAATATTTTAAGAGCCTTTCCAAATGTGAATAGAGATATAAATTAAAGATAAAATAAAGGAAAAGAAAATGGGTAAGATACAGAAAGAAAAAAAAAAAAGATTCAAGCATTACATGAGAGCATATTGGGGGGAGGGGGGGGAAAGAAGGTACTCTCCTTTCCTTATAGGTTAAAAATTATGTTTAGCACCACTTTGATTTTTGACTACTGGGAGTCTTTAGTTAGGACAGGAGCCAGCAGATGTAGACTACTACCATGCCATGACTGCAATGATAGCTGCCCTTGATCCACAGCATGTTGTATGCTGCAGGAAAAAGAAAGAAATATAGAAAAAAAAGAAAATGCTCATGTTGGAATGGTCAAATCTTGTTCCTTCATCCCCATACAAGATTTAGTTTTGTATTACTTAGTGATTAATGGTAAATTACATCCCTGTACACAAAACCACAATAGAACAGACTGTTCTGTAACTATTGCTGTGTTCTAACTTAATTCTGAACAAGTTGCACATGTTTAGGCAGACACAAGCCTCGCGTGGTCATAGTTCATAAAGGAATGCTGAACATAGCACAGACCAGCAACAGGGAGCAGATTCCTTCAGAAGTAATCCCTGTTTACATGCAACCATGAAGCTAAGAGAGATAAACAGCTTTATTTTAATCAGGAAACATTAAAAGTATAGACAGAGTAGACATACTTTATTAGACAGATAAATCCTTCTGATGAATCCCCGAGACTGAGAATCCCATTACTGAAAGAACAGTAAGAAAGAAAGAACTGAAATCACATTACTGAATAGGTCCTTGCTGCTAATGGTGCAGCATTTGTCCAAAATCTAGTCTCCATTTTGATGCTTACAGGAGATCTACTGCACAAACTTTTGGCACCAAAGAGATTGTGGGAACTATGCCAACATTTTAGTTGTCTAGAAGGCAGCTTTTTCAGACTGGTCAGAATTGGGCTCCAAGTGATATAAGTACACTTATTTTTTTCTGAATATTTTGATTCACTGGAATAGCAACTCATGGAAAACATTGGATTTGATGCATTTTCTGTGTTATTTTCTTTTTTTCTTTTTTTTTTTTTTTTAGGATTGGGAGATTGCAACATGCTGTCATTTTTAAGTGAAAAGGTTCCTGTTTTTCCATTTCAAGTGATGTGTTGGGTTTTTGTTTGAGATATAAGTTGATCTATAATAGAAAATACTAAAGAATCAAACTCTTAAGTTTTCTGCACAAGAGATTTCCATTAACATGGTTATTCTTTCCACGTCTTCCCAGTTAATTTTGGTTTCTGAAAATTTTACAGTCTGGGAGGAACTCTTCCACATAAAGGGGAAAATATTTCTGTGCTGGCTTTAGCAATCCTTCAGGAAGACAAGGGAATTCAGCACCCACTGTTACAGAATCAGTGGCCCACATATCCCACAGCTGAGCTTCCTATCGCTCATGTTTTAAAACTGTTTCACAATAGCCCGAAGGAAATCTTGCAGTGAAAGCAAACCCCCATGAACTAGAGGCACAGAAGCATTTGTGCAGAGCTCCCTGCGTCTCCCTACCCACCCAGCTGCGAGCAGGCAGGTCACTGCAAGATGCTGCCCTTGTATTTACATGGGTTTTGCTGCTCCTACAGGCTGAAATTCAGACCTCTCCTTTCCAATCTCGCAGTGTCTGCACTGAGCATGGCTTTTGTTGACCAGAGGGTTTTGGCCCATGGAAAAGAAATGAAAAACTGAAGCTGGCATTTGGATGGCAGACAAAAGGAACACTTGGTGCTGCTCTAAAAGCATGAGACCTTCGAAGTATTTCAGCGTTTTTTAATGGCTTTGTGAGTTTGAACTTCAAAACAAGCATTCAAACTAAGGATGAAGATAAGCAAGTAGGAAATCTCACCCTGGGCTTATTCTGGTGCACTTACTCCTACTTGCATGCCTCAAACACCTCATACGGGCCATTGCCAGGCCGGCTAACAGGGCTGCAGGACCTTCACTCTGACCCATTCTAGCATACCTTTCCCCAAACACTGCAGATTAAATACACAAAAATATTTACACCACCATCTACATAAGGTACCCTAAGGTAGGCTCTATGTATGTAACAAAAGCATACCAGCTCAGCGGCAGGTTGAACAGTCTGAGATCGGCACCGACGCAGTCCCATGCTGCAGCGGGGCTGGGGATGGTGGCAGACGGCGGTTCTCCTGCGTGGAGGTACTCGAGGTACCCGAGGGAGCCGCCAGGAGCCGGCAGCCCTCATGAGGGCGGCTGACTGGGCGCGAGCGGCGCCTGCAGCCCCCTGCCGTACAAAGGCAGCCCCTGGGGAGCGCAGCCAACAGGGCGGGCAGGGAGGGTTGAGTATCCCTCCCCACTCCACAGACTGGCTTACCTACCGGCTGCCACCCACCCAGCCAGCAAACCCAGCCATGATCACCACCAGGCGGCAAGCGCTCGCTAGGAAACCTGTGGCGATCCAGACCGCGCGCCTGCCCAAAGATGCAGCTGTTCAGGTCTCTGGCTGAAGGGAGTGCTTCAGCGTGTCGCTGCCAGTGGTGTGTCACAGAGATACTGCCTGCGTGAGGTACGAGTGGGGGGAGTATCTGATAAGCCTGGTGGCTGAGCTTGAGGAGGAGGTGGAGAGATTAACGACCATCAAGGAGTGTGAGCAGAAGTCAGACTGCCAGAGTCATTCCCTGCCATGCCTAAGAGAAAGGCACTGGGGTTACACACCCCAAATAGTGGTGGACCCCCTGCCCTGTCACTGTCGGGCAGAGGGAGGTGACCTGAGAGAGGAGAGGAATTGAAACAGGTCCCTGCTAAGCATCTCAGGTGAGCCCCCTCCCTAGCCACCTCACCTACCCACGTGCCCTTACGCAATAGGTTTGAGGCCCTGGAGCTTGAGGGACAGTGTGATGAGGATGTGGGGGAAAGGCTAGGGCAAGGAATTCGACTCCACACCTCAAGACTTCCTCCAACAAGAAGGAAAGAAGGATAATGGTTGTAGGCAACTCCCTTCTGAGGGGAACAGAGGGCCCCATATGTCAGCCAGAATATATATAGTGAATTCTTACTGCCTATCTGGCGCCTGGGTCAGGGACATTACCAGGAAACTGAGACTTGGTTCACCCCTCCGATTATTACCCCTTAGTGATAGGTCAGGCTGGCAGCAATGAAATTGCTGAGAGAAGCCTGCAGGCTATCAAAAGGGGCTTCAGGGGATTGTGGCAGTTACTGGAGTGAGTGGGTGCTCAGGTGGTGTTTTCCTCTGTCCCTTCTGTGTAAGGAGGGATATTGAGTGGACCTGGAAGACCCAGATGATTAACACATGCCTGGGAGGCTGGTGCTGTCACAGGAATTTTGTTTATTTGACCATGGGAAGGTTTACTTGGTGCCTTGGCATGATGGCTGCCGATGGGTCCCACCTGTCCCAAACTTTTGGGACCCTCAATACAAGAAAGACATGGAAACCCTGGAACATATCCAGGGCTACAAAGCTGGTGAACGGCATGAAACACAAGTCCTGTGGGGAGCAGCTGAGGGAACTGGGGTTGTTTAGTCTGGAGAAGAGGAGGCTCAGGAGAGACCTTATTTCTTTCTCACAGCTGCTTGAAAGGAAGGTGTGGGGAGCTGGGGGTCAGCCTCTTCTCACAGGTGATAGGACTAGAGGGAATGGCCTGAAGTTGTGCCAGGGGGAGGTTTAGGCTGGAAATTAAGAGACATTTCTTCTCAGAAAGAGTAATCAGGCATTGGAACAGGTTGCCCAGGGAAGTGGTGGAGTCACTGTCCCTGGGGGTGTTCAAGGAAAGGTTGGACCTGGCGCTTAGGGACATGCTTTAGTGGGTGATGTTGGTGGTAGGGGGATGGTTGGACCACGTGATCTTGGAGGTCTTTTCCAACCTTAATCATTCTATGATTCATTTGAATCCTGTTTACAGTGTCTAGCAAACTGCATACATGGCAGAAATGAAACAAAACAAAATAAAACAAAAGCAAACAATAAAACAGTCTGAGTACCTTTTCATAGTGTAACGACCAAGAAAGGCTACGAGTACAAACCTGGCAGTGGTGGGATTTTAGAAGGTAGGCATTCACCTGCTGCACTGGTAATCTTAAAGGAGCATTTATAAATCACCGTAGGAGAAATCTTTGAACTCAGAGGTCTATGCGTTCTTCAGTTTTCTTTCTTATTCCTGAGGTCCTAATTTAGACAGACATAAAGCAGCCAAAATATGGAAATTCCCAGATGGCATTAATTTGCCTTGAAGTTGGTGAACCAAGTCAAAGTCTTAAGACTGCAAGCACTGGAAAGCTACCTAATGTCATTTAACGGTTTGGCATTAAACCAGAGCTTTACAACAGTTTATTGACAAAAGGCGTCTTTATTACTTCATAAATGTTGAAACTAACAAAAAAAAAATCCTCAAACTTATCTTCCTTACAGGAGTATAAATGCAATAATATTAATATATTATTATATTTTATATTTATATATGTATTAAATGTATATATATATTTATATTAACAGTAAACATTTTCCCTGTTGATCTGAGAAGAGAGAAAGTTATCATCTGAAGCTCTTCATCATACTACTCTCAGCAGCTGCAGCATGTTAAGTCTCCAGAGCAAAGTCTCCACACACGATTCCCCTCCTTCTTAAAAGCAGTGTGATCTCTGAGTACCAAAGTGGAGCATGGATAGATAACCAAGTCTCCCAAAGAACAAATTAATCCTGCTGTGCTCAGAGGGGCATCCTAGCCTCAGAAAGAATGGGGGGAGAATAAACGTAAGACACACAGTCAGGATCACACTTTGAGGATCAGAGACCGATGACCCAAGGTGGAAACTTCATGTGAAGAAAGCTACTAGGAGCTACTAGGAGCTCTTTCCTTGGCACCAGCTTTGCACAGACTCATCCTATTGCACTTTTTATGCCAGTGCACATACCTGGATAAAATCCACTCACCTCAACAGTACTCAAAGTGCTCTACTAATTTGAACATATTGTAGAATCATAACCAGGTAATAACTAACTCCTATTACATTTTCTCTTCTTGTCAAGCTAGTCTTCTTTTTCAAGGAAAAAGGAGTTTTTAAACACCATTTTACTTACCACTATATAAGCAATTTGTAATAGAACAGTATGCTGTTTGCCTTATCCTTCTACTGCAGAAGACAACCATAGATACTGAGCAAGGAAAAGAAAAAAAAAATCTGTTATCTATCAGCAACTTAGGGCTAATAGGTGACCTTTTTTTTCCTTCAAGTTGTAATTTCATTAAGTGCTGATTAATAAATTTCATTGTAATAAATTTGTATATCCCTCTGCAATCTTACATGTAAACTCTGTTCCAGTTTATTTGTGGAACAAATATTTTCCTAACATAAAAAATACCAGAGCAATCGTTAGGAAAAATAATAAAAAAGAAAAAAGTTTTGTGAAACCATTAAACAGTACATTAAGAAAAAATATTACAACGATGGAGAAATGCATTGTTTCCAATAGCAGTACAATACAGCTTGTGGCACTATACAAAGTGGCAATAAAAGACTATCAGTATTGGCCAAATGCTTCTAGCTTGTAATCTTAGCTGTGTAAACAGACCAGAGACTGATCCAAAGCCAGCTCAAGAGGAATCTTAACAAATAAAGTCCTTGTTCAAAACACATAGCTCTAGGTAATATTTTATGGTCCGTGGAATGTCGTATCAATACTCATCTCAGTGACTCAAGGATTTTTCTGCATTTATATAATACAAACTGTGATGTGTTCAGGAAATGTTTAAGTAGGTTTTAAAATAATTATAATTCATCTAATTTAAAATCTTATTTGGTTAGTATCAAATTATATTTCCTCTTTCAAATTGCAAAATTAACTACAGATTAAGCATATTATCCAGGATTATATTTCCTGTGCAACAGTAATAAGACTTATTCTCAGTTCTCTTTTGGTAAAGTCATGTCATAATTAAGTTTCTCTGTAACATACAGCAGCAGCAGAATATAGCCTGAAGAAGCCCATTTTCCACCACCTGCATCTTAAAAAGAGCTTATTTATCCAGAATGTTCAAAAATAGAATTCCTAAATGCCAGAGCTTGTATGATGAATGAATGTTTCTCCCTTTGTGTACAGAAGGCATCTTCCAAAACTTTGTCTCTCACCTCAGAAATCCAAAAGACTGTTACTTTTTAAAAGGTGTTTAAGAACCGGGGATTTTTGGTCATAACTATTTTTCTTTGATCGTAGCACAAAGATTTTAACCATTTCAGGGTGTGTGACCCTGTTTTCAGTTATTGATATTGGTCTCAAAAGAAGCTGTGTACTTTCTCTTCAGACCTCGAGTTTCAAAGAATATGCAGCAGTTCACATTTACAACAATACCTTACTGACAATGCAAGGCATGATCATAGAATCATTAAGGTTGGAAAAAGACCTCCAAGATCACGTGGTCCAACCATCCCCCTACCACCAACATCACCCACTAAAGCATGTCCCTAAGCGCCAGGTCCAACCTTTCCTTGAACGCCCCCAGGGACAGTGACTCCACCACTTCCCTGGGCAACCTGTTCCAATGCCTGATTACTCTTTCTGAGAAGAAATGTCTCTTAATTTCCAGCCTAAACCTCCCCCTGGCACAACTTCAGGCCATTCCCTCTAGTCCTATCACCTGTGAGAAGAGGCTGACCCCCAGCTCCCCACAACTTCCTTTCAGGTAGTTGTTGAGAGCAATGGTAACACAGCTATGCTACTCATCCCTACAGTGTGCAGACAATTTATCATCCAAAGCACAGTGTGTGCATCTTGCAATCTGTGATACCACATGTTGCTGATTCTGCCCTATTAAAAAAAAAATAAAGTTTGATCATAGGTTTGAACATGTATTTCTGCAACAACAGGTCATTTCAAATGTAAGCTATTACAATTTTTGAGTAGGAATTGATAAGGAGTATAGTTACAGAGCAGAATGAGGGATTCATTTCCCGCACTTGTTTCCCTAGGAGTAATGTGAGGGAAGACTGAAACTACATATGGAACTACAGGATAAGATCAGCTGTAAAAATAAAATTTAAAATAAATTGCTATTTGCCTTCCTTTCATTTTACACTTACCTGAAATCCTACCAAGAGTAAGGAAAAATATGAAGTGGTTTCAGAAAACTCAGTTCCTTAGTCTGACAGGGCCTAGTTAAGGGAGGTTCAGTAGTACAGAAATACAATACCAATTCCTTCCAATGCTTTAGCTACTTAGAGATGAAATACATGTAAAAGGACTAAGGTAATCTGAACACCTCTAGAGAATTAAAAATAAAG